AGTATATATGCAATTGAAAGTGAGCAGTATTGTAGTGTTTGTTGTGTGATATGTTGAGCTTATATACATATAAAAGAAGTTTAAAGCTTTAGAAGAGTGCTTAGCTGATCACGTATCTTGTACGTATGTACTGAGTGCAGCTCGATCGACGAAACTTGTTGATTTATTTCTTCACAGAAACGAACAGCTTGCATAATGCATAAAGAGCACTGAACCTGCTCATCCTATTGAATCATCACCCAAATATGGATTTTGATCAGGTGTGATGCATTTATTTCAATTCAGTCATTGCTCAGTAACCGATATCGTTCGTTTCATCCCAGTGATGCTTTCTAATGCTTTGTACATTCAATTTTATGTGTACATTTTACTAATCATATGGGATTTGTTGCTAGATATCGAGTAATAATCTTCACTATCGATATTACTTGCCATCCTAAACCGATTTAGTTCATTTGATGTTGACTCCATAATTTTTGATCTAACTCCATCGTATCTCTTCCCGTTCTTTTCTAGCAATATTGTGTTTGATTGTATTGGTTTCATTTCATTAAATTTTACATTTTCTTTTTTGATCATCTTGCTCCTTATCTTCATTATCGAGAATAATCATTTTATAAATGCTGTTGAAAGGTATGCCACCACATTTCTATCGTACTGTGATCCATCTTGGCGTTTATTATTATTAATATTGTTATTGTTAATGTTTTGGTTCTTGCCAGTTACAATGACAGTGTAATGAATCAGTCATTCGATTTTTTTTTGAATAATCGATTTGAATTATTGATCGAAATATCTAATCTATTTCATTCTTTCTTTGTTGGAGTATTTCTTTAAGATTTTCGACTAATATTCGGACAAAAAATCGGTATTCGAATTGAAGCGATATCAAAGTTAAAGAAAAATCGATCAAACACTTGAATGAATTCAATAGAGTGATGATAACACAAGAAACTAGTAAAATACTTAAATCGGTAAATAAACAGAGAGTTGTCATTTTTATTTGATGTGAACATTTATTCAATTGTAATGCATTTGATGTTTTATCAGAATGCTTTTTTCAGGAGGAGTTCATCGTATCGGCGATGTTAATCGCTTGCGAAGAAGGTAATCTGCATGGTTTAGATCAGCTGGCAACCTTACATCGAATCAACTTAAATGTCTCAAACAGAGTTTGTTCATTCATTATCCTCACTTTTTATAGTTTGTATTGGTGTGTTGCGGGGAAGGAAAAAATGTCGGGGACAAAATTTCGCTGCCAGAAACCCCAAAAATGTGGTTGATTCGAAAAAAGTCAGGACGGAGACTTTCGGGGGAAAAACCTAATCTCGTCCCCGAATTTTCCCCGAGAATGGAACTTTTGAACTGGAGCCAGTAAGGCCTTAAAAACAGGAGTTTCTGGTGGAAAAGCACTGGAATAATCAATCTTTAGGATAGAACGGAGATAGCTGCGAAACCACAATGCAGTTTTAACAATAACATTTTATTTAACCACGTGAAAAAATAAACAGTGCATAATATTTGGCAACAAGAACTAAAAAACTTTCGAAATGACGCACATCATTAAATATTGGAGAATTTCAACAATCTAAAATATGAAAAGTATAGATTAACATACCTGAGTTAACATGAACAATCAGCATACCTGAAAAGTGCTGCGTTACGAAATAACATGAATTGAATAAGCGCAAACCGGTAACAACGGCAAGCGTTTCGTGAATGATTTGAAGGCTCAGTGCACTCCGATAAATAGGACGGAATGAAAACAGTGAAAGAAAATATGTGAAATACAGTCTTCGATGAGAAAATACAGTGTTTTGCGATTATAAAACGTGAACTGAGTAAAATTAATACTTTGATTCGATTTTATCAATTTTCGAGCAAAATTTGGGAATTTCTCGAAAAATTTTTCTGAAATGAAATTTTGCGGTCGAGTGCCTTGAAAATGTTGGGGAGGGGTTCCCGAAATTGCCCTTTCCCCGCAACATTAGTTTATA